TACTGTTTTACTTATTTAGATTGGAGATCTTTGTGACAGCATTATGTATATTCATTTATGTTTCTGAATCTTACACATTTTTTTAAAGATATACACACCCTTCATAAGTGAGTGAGGGAGAGAGGAAAAGTGAGAGACAGGGAAACCAAATATGGCAAAAATGTTTATAATTAGTGAATCTAAATGTAGTCGGTCATGGTGTATGTAACTTTAGGTTTTTCACACGTATATCCAGGTAACTGCTATTTAAACAGTTAAATCATTGCATTTGGGTAGGAAATGAGCTTTTAAATCAGTGAAACATAAGAAAAGACTGTAATATTTACACTAGTTATCAAAGGTATTAATTATAGAGAAAGACTTGACTTTACATGAAAGTGAAGAATTTATGGAAAATATCTAGTATCATAAAAATGTTCTTTTCCAAAAATAGATACTGAGAGGTTATTTTTTCATTTTTGTTCATTTTGGAACTTTACATTTGATTTGAAAATCATTTCTAATTTCAACATCAGATCCCAGGCAAAAACCTGCGTTTTTTTCCCTTCCTTTGGCAGGAACCCATGCACTTGCTCCTTCCAGCTACATCTGCTATTAAATGAGTTGCAGTGCTCCACCCAGAACAGATCAAGCTTTGCTAATTGTCCTTGCTTATTAGCTAGACCTCACTACTTTTCATTACAACTGAGGAGTCAACTCTATGTTTATCTTGATGAAATTATTTACCCTAATAAGGATTATTTGACATTTGACTTTTCCTTGAGTTCTGTTCAGTATTTAATACTAGAATGTAGGGGGTGGGAGAATACATAAAACATGATCCTTGTGTCAATGAGCTTACAGTCCTCATGCTATAGGACACACAGGTTGTATTAGGACTGACTTGCTAGTTCTGGAGATGGAACTGGAATTCAGTTATTTTTTCTCCAAAGGAATAGATCTTTATGCATCCCCACGAGGTATGGGTAAAACCCCAGCAAGTTTCAATATCATCTCCATCCTTTCTGGGTGGAGCACATAGTATTGTCAGGGAAAAGAAAGGAGTTTTCTGATAATCTGGAGTTTCCAAGTGGTATTCAGTGTACCATCCAGGGTGCATCTTGTTGCTTTGGGCTACTCTGCAGAGAAAGTCAGAGGGCCTCATTTTTGATGGGTAAATGGAGTAGTCCTGACGCATGTCAAGAGAAGCCAACTTTAGGGTCCTGGACAGTGCTGATACAATAGCCCACTATTGCTACAGAAATATATGGCAGAAAGTGAGTTCCATGTTTACATTTCAAAAACAATATTAGGGCCTTATTTAAGCTGCTATTTAGCATCAAGTTTCATCAAGCCAGCGTTTTGTCTCAGTACATTTGGAAGACAGTCTGATGATTAAAAAAAGGAAACCTGAAGTCTTGTAACATAGTGTTTTAGGGAAGGGGCAAGCTCCCAGAGGAGGTTATCCAGGGACCTCTTCCAAGATACAACTATGACAGAAAAATAATGTAGTTCAAAGCAGAATCAAAAATAGACTAAATAGAATTACAAGGTGTGTATTTGGGGAGCACAGAGAGGCCTGAGGAAGGTGATTTTGGAACAATCAAGAGAGCCTTCATAAAGAGGGGAGCAGTTTTGAGCTGGTTCCTCGAAGGTGGGTGGGATATTCACAAGCAAATAATGAAGAAACATGATCCCTAGACAGAAACAGCAGGAATTCCAAATACTTAATGGAACAAAATGACTAGGAGGAAGCAATTGGCCAAATGCAGAATGTAGGTCACTCTGCAGGACAATTTACCCTGTTTGTTCAGCAAGTCTAGGGTGTGGAAAGGGGTGATGGTAGAGAGAAGGATTAATCTAGATTTAAAAAGATCTACTGCCCCTCATTAGAGCAGAATTCTCTGCCTGTGCTCTGTCCCTTCATTCCACTACTCACGGAGCTGACAAATGCTTGTTCAGCCCTCACTCCGTGTCGGGGACTGGGCTAATCAATCAGCACTGTGGGTCCTTCCTGGGACTTTCCATTTCCAGTCCCTTGACACCTTCCTCAACTAATGCCCACATTAAAGCAGTGGTCTCCATAGCGATCTCATTCCCTCCAAGCCCATACTTTTTCCACAATCTGTAAAGCTAATGTGAAAACTTGTCTGGAATCCACAAATCCCACAGAGCCAGGGAAGAGGCCTCTGGTGACCACCCTGTGAGGCAGCCTGCATGGCCAAGGGCAGACACGGGGCCCTGTGGAAGAACCCGCACAGACAAAAGGCACTCGGCACGAGGTCACATACCGAGGGAGACAAACAGAGATTACACACCTCAGTCCCACAAGCCCCTTTTTGATAAAAGTAAAAAAAATCAAGTCTCTCTATGAAAGGAGTATATTTTAATTAAAGGGAACTTACAAGCAAATTCTGCTGTACCTGAAGGTACATTTGTTTAATTGGGCATTATATGAAAATAATATCTCTTTGCTGAAAAGAGAAGGTGCTGCAACCAAATGAGTATTTCCTCAACAATAGGGTTGAGACAAAGTCTCGGGTAAGAGAGACCGCCCTGTCTCCGGTGACAATTCTTTCTGGCTGTGTTTTCTGCCCATGCAGTATAAAGCCATCAGAACTCCATCTTGTTATCAAATTGTTTTATGATAAAAGTTTCTTCTTGCCCACATGAAATATACACCTGTCTTGTCTGTTTGCATGTCAATAATAATGAAACAGGTTTTTAAAAAGTTTAAAAAGTCACAAAAGGCAACTAGGGCAAGCAATAATAACTGTAATAGTAATTACTATAAATGTAAATAAATTTCAAACAAGTTGTTTTCTCTTTTCCCTACTAAAAGCTATTTCTGGGTCTAAAAATACTTTAGAAAGTACATTATAATTTCTGGTTTTTGAAACAGGCAGTGGTAAAAATAACAAGGCCTTTAACAATCTCAAAACCTAAACACAACATGTATTTATGTTTCAACCACAGTAAATCAGAACAAAGGAACTGGAGTGGCAATCAGTAAAGGGATTTTTTCAGATGTGATGGCCAACCACTGCACTTATTATTCTTCCAGTAGTTTTATTATCTATGTTAATATTAACACTTTTATTTTGGACTTAGTTTGTGTGGAAGAACAAAATGAATAGTTATATTATTCAATTTCAGTTATAAATAATTCTATGGCTTGGAAAATTATGAAAGAAAAGGAGTTAATGTTTGTAATAGGAACTAAAATTGTTAGTAGGTATGTCATAGAGCAAATCTAAAACTAAACCTAAAAATATTGCTGTGAACTCATGTATGCAAGGGAGACCTTTTCTACTTCTGCCCCCAAATAACCCAGCAACAGGTACCTGAACACTACCCTCAGCACAGATAGTCTAATCTGTATTCCTATGACTAATATTTACATGCTAGTACAGTAAATTCCTCTATGCTCTGGTTAACTATGCACAAACAATTCCGCCACTAAAACTTAGTGGCTTACAGTAGCACTTGACTATTATTTGTCAGAGCTCTGGAGGCTGACAGGTTCAGCTGAGTCGCTCTTGCTTTGGATCCTACAGGGCTGCAATCAGGTGGTGGCTCTGGCTGAAGTCATTATCTTTGTGCAAATGTTTGCACTCAGCTTGGATGTCTGGAACAGCTGGGTGCTGACTGGGTGTCTCTCCATGTGGCCAGCTTGGGCTTCCTTATGGTATGGTAGGTCTGAGGGTAACAGGACTGCTTACATGGCAGCTTGCTTTTTCCAGAGTGAGCATTTTAAGATACCCAGGCAGAAGCTGCAAAACTTCTCCTGCTAACCCTGGAGTCCTGCTGTGCTGCTGTGCTGAACTCCATTGGTTAAATGGGAAGCTTAGCTTCCAGGAGGTGGAAGAGTAACTTCCAGCCCTTTGCCCTGCCAGTACAGAGAGGGAATAAATTGATGATGTCACACAGCATGTTTCTATTCTATGAATTAGTTCATGTGCAATTAGAAAATGATGCAGTCTAACCAACAAGTCAAGTTTGATCATATTGGGTGTTTTCTAGGAAAGCAGAACCAAAAGAGCAAGAGTAAAATTAGAACCTTCAGCAGGAAAGAAAAAAATCTCACAACTCAGCTGCTCTACTGGGAACAGGATTCCTTTAGTCACTGGTGATTGATAGCGATCAACGCACCCACTTTTTGGACATGTGTTGCAAGGATGGGTGCAGCAATTAGGAATAAATTGGACGTGGCCCTGGACATTTCAACACATGGACCAGCGATGACTGGCTCTTCTGGCACCCTGGGGAAAAGGCCTGGAAGCTGGCCTCCTGTGTATTCCTGGAATAACACCAAGGTGGCCCACCAAAATCACGGTTATTTGCCTCTATAGTCCTTGTGTCCTGGATGTGTCCCCTGGCTGCAAATGCCACATGATGGCTGGAATGGACAAGCTTTGGACTTAATCTGCATGGAACTTTGGACCTAGTTAAATCCTCTGGTTTGAGAATTATGATTGTGTTGCTGTTGTCAAGAAAAAAATTCTTAAAGAGAGGCTTGACTTTGTCTAATGTTTGGCAAAAGTTTTGTGAGCAATCTAGCATGGTTGTTAGGAATGAGTAAACAAATGTAGAAACATATTTTGTGCTTAGTGAGGGATTGTGCTGAAAAGTACGTTTATTTAATCTGCATAGGCTGAATCCTCTGGTTTGAGGATTATCAAGATTTTATTGCTGTTGCTATTGTATGTTATTAGATTGGTTGGAAGAGGGGAAACAAGTAAATTGTAAGGTGAGGTTTCTGGAGGGGTGGCCTGTGGGTAAACTTGTAATATTTCCAGAATATCTTGCCTGGTTTTAGTATATTTGCATATCAACAGGAGCTCAAGAGAGGAGAGAAGTATGGCTTTAGTGGATTTGCATAATTCCTCAGGGGTGAAGAGAAGTTCATCTCCAAATCAATGGGTAATTACCTGGGCAACAGAGGCCCTTATCTGTACCTGAGAGGTGAGGGGAGGGCCGGTTTTGCTGCTGCTGGAGCAGGAGAGAGAGAAGGGCCAGACTGCAGTTTGTAAGCAATAAATGGATTTTAAACTTTATTTCTCCCTTTGACTGATTTTGGTTTTTACAGGTATTTTGAACTGGGATTTCCTCTCACCCTTCTCCAGTAGCTCATGTCTGGCTTTCTACTTAATAGATCCATGCCCAAGACTGCAGTAAGAGCAGACTGGAGGGATTAACCACTGAGTCTTAGATTGGAAGAAAGAAGGGATATGGATAGTAAAATGTTTACTGCTATGGGGTAGGGGAGTGAGGGAGTTTTCTTCTGATAGCCTAAATTTTCTCAAAGTTCAAGGACAGGAAAATTTCAAAATAACAATTGTGAACAGGGGGAAGAAATTGATCAGAGACCAGTGAAGGCCTTAAAATTTTGATGAAATGAATAAATGATTCACTTAAGTGATGTAAACCAGAATGTAGAATGTGTGGTGAACTAATAATGTCATGAGATGAAGTTGGAAAGGCAGGGTGTGCCAGCTTATGGGATTTGGTCTTTATATAGGCAATGGGGAGTTATCAAAAGTTTTGAGTAGTGAAGAGATGAATAGGATATAAGGTTATTTAGAGGTAAGTTGGGGCAAGGAGAAGTACTAAAGGTCACAAAGAGGCCTTAAAACAATCTAGGTGATCAATAAAGCATATGCCTTATTTGAGGGTTGAGAGAGCTACTGAGGACTTAGACCCTATAAGACTAGTGGTGATGATAACAGTTGGATTAGGGGATTCTTGGGACTAATCAAGGATAATGATGGAGTACTTCTTTCATTTACAGAAAAACATTTCCTTTCTTGAAATTGATTTTTAATTTACATTTAATTCTAGAAAATGGTCCCTCTTTTAATGTAGCTTATTAAAAAAATATTTAGAATTGCTCTGAATCCTTCCATTTTTGTAGTTTTGGGAACAATTTCCAAGAAGTTCTTTGTGCAGAATTAATTAAAGTCTGATCAGCAATTCCATCTAAGTGCTTCAGTCTGTATGGAAAATGTTAACTTGAATTTTGCTTTGATTTTCAAATTGAATGTCCTTGTCTTTGTCATAGAGCCAGTTCCTATCAAGTTGCTCTGGGTCTCCATTTATGTATAAAAGTTAGAATCATCTTTTCTGAACTGCAACAGATTCTCCTTTGAATGTTTACCCCGATCTCTAACAATGAAGAGCTCCTGTGTTCCTAGTGAACTGGTTTTATTTGGAAGCTCTTGTAGTAATGTAGCAGGCTCTTGGGACCATCTTCAAAACATTTACCCCCTCCTCTTTCACACTGAAGAGCTGCTTCGTGACCACAGGGCTGTAACAATTGTTTGGCTTATAGCCTTTCAGGAATCACAGTCCTCATGAGGATATATAAGCCCTTTATTTGCCTCAGTGTCCAGCAGTTGGAATTCATGTTGCCCCCTTCAGAATCTTGTTCTGGGGGCATTGTGTTTTCCTCTGTAGTGATCTTAAAAGGAATATAATTTTGAGCTGTATCTATTCCCTGAATACAAAGGTTCATATTTATAAATATCTGAGTCTCTTTCATGACAGACACTCTTATGAGGGTCTGAGAGAACTTCAGCAGAATGTGGTGGTATTTGTGGTTAAATATCCACATTTGAAAATTCTAAGTCTCTAAGTGAGCAGTGCCACTCTGCTGTCTCAGACTGAGGAGCTGTGACGTGCTCATGAGTGACCGTGCCTGGGATCTCATCAATGAAAGGACTGCTGTCCAGTGATCCAGGCAAGCTCAATAGATCCTCGATTTTTTTGGTGTTAGAGGCACTCTGCAGATGAGTCTCACACAAACCAGGCTCTGGACCAGGAATGGGTGGTTTTTCAAAATGATCTTCCTGATTTTCACATTTCCCCAGAATCTTCAGGAAGGTGATATTGTCCTCAAGACTCTCTAATGAGGTGACATTGTCCTTCCTCAGCCCTAAGTCCTTGTCCTCCACGGGTTTGCTGGCTGTACAGCTCCCCTTGCCAAGTGCCTCTTCTTCAATCTCATTTCTTGCATCCTCTGAACTCACAGAACTAAGAGTGAATAAAGACCCTTCATCAGAATCGTAGTTGGAGTCCAGCTTATACTCAGTGACAGAAGGAACAGGTATATGCACTGGCTGCATATCAGGAGTGACATGCAGGCCCTGGCCCCATCCTGGAGGAAAGACCTGTGGGAATCGGTCCATATCACCTGGGTCACTGAGTGGGACCGTCGTGGAGCAGGCAGAAAGCTCTTCCTTAGCACTGGCCCCCTTGAGCTTCTGTTGCTGTGTGTTCTGAGAATTAATGTAAGCACTCACTTGCATTTCCTTTGCAAACTCTGAAGGTAACTGTTCAGTGCACTCTCTTCCTTGACTCTCTCCAGTCCTCTGTGTTTTTATATGTGTTCGCATTTTAGAGAAAGAAGCTGCAATTTGTCTTGAGGGTGGTGGGTTTAATTCATGTGAATTATCATGGATTGAGACAGAGACAGTTTGTAACCTGCCAGTTACTGTGGGGACATCCATTTGCTCACTGAGAGAATCTTCCTGGACCACAGTTTTATCATTTATTTCTCCAAGATGGTCATTCCTGTAGATATGGTCCTGTCCTGCTGAAATGAGTATCTTATTACCGGTGTTCGTCTGTCCTCGGAGAACTGAATGGGCTGTACTATCATTGGGAAGCCCCTGATCCTTTCTTCCTGCCCCAGGGTTGTGTTGGCATAGTTCCCTGCTCTGCGGGCTGCCAGGTTTCTTCCTGCTCTCCCGCTGCGTCCCATCAGGAACGACAGCAGCGTGTGGGCTGCACTGCCTCACCACGAAAGGGTCGTGGTTCTCATAGGAGTTGAGATCCTGGAAAGCCTGGGGCAGGCCTGTCCTTCCGTGCTGTGGGCTCCCCGCAGCCTCCACGTCAGCATAGAAGCCCTCGTTCGAATACACACTATCTGAACCAGGGCCTCGGTTCCGGCATCTCTGTTGCCACAGTCTGTCAACATGAGGCCTTGTAAAAGCCCCCAGGCCGAAAGCCACGAAGAACGTGATGAACACCGCCAGGCAGACTGCCAGGGTGAAGTCCTGGGAGGTGTCTTCCTTTCCGCCAGTAGTTTGCACATCCCTGGAGCTCCTAATCCATCTTCGCAGCCGTCTCTGCTTCTCAGTGGTATCAAAGCCAGCATGTTTTTTCTTCCCTGGAGTGGAAAGGCACACAAACAGTCTTTCCTGGGGCCTCTGGGCTTTGCTTGTTCTAAGGCTTTTCATATGATTCCTGTTAATGTGAGGATGGTGGGTCTCCCTGGAAATTCTGCTTTTGGGAATCCACCAGTATGCTTCCTTATTCCCTGAAAGTAGTGGGGAGAAACACACATTGATGAGCATTGAAATAAGATACTAGTGGTTTAAAAGCTTCTGTGAGTCCACCCCAGTCCTTATCTGGCTTTATATAGAGTGTATATCACATGATGATAAGCAGCCTTACTGATTGATTATTGGTTGATTGATTATCTCAGGCCATTAAGTATGTAAACAGCTCTGTGCACTTTTACACATGGCTTTCAGGCTTAGGTTCATTTCTGAGGCTTCTTGCCTGACTGCTGCCTATGGGAGGAAGCAAGCCAGATGGAGGGGCAGCCACAGTGCTTCCTGCTTATCCTCACCTCCTGTACGTTTCTAAGAAATTCCATCATCTCTCTGCTAAGTCTGCCTTGGCTTTGTAATATCATTTCCTCACCATTCCCCAGTGCTGGTAAACACAAAAATATTTAGGTTTCTCTCCTGGTTCCTCACATTTTTCCCTCCATACTCAGAATGCCAGTCATGGCTTTTAAGAGGAATGAAACAATATGGCCAAAAATATTAAGACTTCTCTCTAATCTTCAAGGATTTCTTCTAAACCCAGTAAGCATGGCCATGTTTCTACTTCAATGGCAGTCCTGGGGAGAACAGAGTGCAGGTCTCATTACAAAACAACCTGACTCCTGTGCCCCCAGTTAGCAGTACAAGATTTAGCTAAGACACTTAACAGTGAAAAAATGTTTTCCAGAATGTCCACGCCAGTAACTGTAGCACTTTGTTTGAGTGGCAGAGAACAAATGAAAGAAAAATATACTTTTGAAATACATGTGTTTTGTGTATGTATAGAATTATAATTTCAGAGGGTTATTAGCAAGTATTTTAAATGATAGCATTTCACATTTAAAAAGTTCTCCCTCTGCTGAACTGTTAGGAATTGGGATAGAAAGTGACATTTTGGGGCTTTCTCCTTGTGAAATTTCTGTTTTTGATCAAATCCAATTGTTTCTGAGCTATCTGAACAGGTTTCTTTGACTGCCTGATAAAAATCATTCATGAACTGAGGAAAACAGTTAGGTACCAGTGATTATTCTGCACCACAGCTGATGCTGATGAACCTGTGGATCAGCCCTCCTGCTTTCTGTCCGCCACTGTTTCATAAAGGAGTACATTTTTCATGGGCTTTTCTTCAGTTTGCCTGAAACCATTTCAGAGAGAAGAGGTACTACTGACTTACCTATAGACTTGTTACAGATTAGATGCCATTTTTCCCTCCAGGATTCAGATATGAAATCTTGGAAGACTGCCATGCTACAGTCACACTGCCATTGTTTATCAGCCAAGTTAGCCTCCAGATGGGGAAGTTCTAAAGCAATGATCATCATTGGTAGGATGGTGGTCAGAACATTGTTTCTGAGATCTACGACCTGCTTGAGAAGAAACAAATTTAGGGTAGTCTGTGAATAAAGATACTGAGAGACAAAATACAGGATGGTTATAGACCTTGTTTACATTTCTATGGAGGCAAAATGAATTTAGCACAGAATTGAGAGTCAGAGAGTACTGGGTTTAAGTCTCTGCTCTGCTCCTAACAACTCTGTGAGCCACAGCAAACTGTCTACTCTCTATGAGCCTACCTCCCAGGGTTGTTGGAAAGATTAAATGTGTGTGGAAGACTTAAGTACAGTGCCTATATTAGACACCTTTATTTTCCCTTCTTTCTTTTTATTTTTATTGTGGTATAATTAATGTACAATCACATGAAGAACATTGTGATTGCCAGATTTCCCCCATTATCAAGTCCCCACCACAATCCCCTTATTACAGGTCCATCAGCATAGTAAGATGCTATAGAGTCACTTACTTGTCTTCTTGTGCTATAGTGCCTTTCCTGTGCCCCCCCTACAATGTGTGTGCTAATCATAATGTCCCTTATCCCCTTCTTCCTCCTTCTCACCCCCCTCACCAGTCCTTTTCTCTTTGGCAACTGTTAGTTCATTCCTGGGTTCTGTGAGTCTGCTATTTTGTTTCTTCAGTTTTTGCTTTGTTCTTATGCTCCACAGATGAGTGAAACCATTTGGTATTTCTCTTTCTCTGCCTGGCTTATTTCACTGAGCATAATACCCTCTCGCTCCATCCATGTTGTTGCAAATGATAGGATCTGTTTTCTTCTTATGGCTGAATAATATTCCATTGTGTATATATACCACATCTTCTTTATCCATTCTTCTACTGATGGACACTTAGGTTGCTTCCATTTCTTGGCTACTGTAAATAGTGCTGTGATAAACATAGGGGTGCATATATCTTTTTCAAACTGGGCTCCTGAATTCTTAGCATAAATTCCTAGGAGTGGAATTCCAGAGGTGTGTGAGTTCTTTATATATTTTGGATGTAACCCCTTGTTAGATATGTCATTTACAAATATATTCTCCCATACTATAGGATGCCTTTTTGTTCTGCTGATGGTGTCCTTTGATGTACAGAAGCTTTTTAGCATGATGTATTTCCATTTGTTCATTTTTTATTTTGTTTCCCTTGCCTGAGGAGATGCATTCACGAAAAAGCTGCTCATGTTTATATTCAAGAGATTTTTGCCTATGTTTTCTTCTAAGAGTTTTATGGTTTCACGACTTACATTCAGGTCTTTGATCCATTTCAAGTTTACTTTTGTGTGTGGGGTTAGACAATAATCCAGTTTCATTCTCTTGCATCTAGCTGTCCAGTTTTGCCAACAGCAGCTGTTGAAGAGGCTGTCATTTCCCCATTGTAAATCCATGGCTCCTTTATTGTATATTAATTGACCATATATGCTTGAATTTATATCTGGGCTCTCTAGTCTGTTCCATTGGTCTATGGGTTTGTTCTTGTGCCAGTACCAAATTGTCTTGATTACTGTGGTGTTGTAGTAGAGCTTGAAGTCAGGGAGCATAATCCCCCCATCTTTATTCTTCCTTCTCAGGATTGCTTTGGCTATTCGGGGTCTTTTGTGGTTCCATATGAATTTTAGACCTATTTGCTCTACTTTGTTGAAGAATGCTGTTGGTGTTTTGATAGGGATTGCATTGAATCTGTAGATTGCTTTAGGCAGGATGGCCATTTTGACATATTAATTCTTCCTATTTATGACCATGGGATGTGTTTCCATTCATCAGTATCTTCTTTAATTTCTCTCATGAGTGTCTTATAGTTTTCAGAGTATAGGTCTTTCACTTCCTTGATTAGGGTTATTCCTGGGTATTTTATTCTTCTTGATGCAATTGTGAATGAAATTGTTTTCCTGATTTCTCTTTCTGCTAGTTCATCGTTAGTGTATAGGAGTGCAACAGATTTCTGTGTATTAATTTTGCATCCCACAATTTTGCTGAATTCAGATATTATATCTAGTCATTTTGGAGTGGATTCTTTAAGGTTTTTTTATATACAGTAACATGTCATCTGCAAACAGGGACAGTTTGACTTCTTTCTTACCAATCTGGATGCCTTTTATTTCTTTGTGTTGTCTGAATGCTGTGGCTAGGACCTTCAGAACTATTTTGAATAAAAGTGGGGAGAGTGGGCATCCTTGTCTTGTTCCCGATCTTAAAGAAAAAGCTTTCAGCTTCTCGCTGTTAAGTGTAATTTTGGCTGTGGCCCTTCCTTCCTTTTTATGAGTTGTAATTTATATTGTTAGGTAAAACTTAGATTCATTGTTGTTATCAAAATCTAGAATTAGGTATCAGGTCTAGGTTTTCTAGAAGCCCTGTGAACCTGAAAGTGACAGAAGATACTAGATGATGAGGACATAGGACAGAACTGTGGTTGACCAGAAGTAGCAAAGAGAGATATTTTGCATCAAGTATTATCTCAAGGGTCATAGAATATTTCTCTTCATCCATGGCTATTCAATATATATATAAGATGACTAATTTTTCTAGTCTAATCAGAAATTCAGGGGGAACTGGGGAACAAAAAGTATTCAGTGACTCTAGAGGCACAGAGCAGGATCTCCTGAAGTTGGATATGTCAGTGGCATGATATAGCAGGGAAGGCAGGTAGGTATAGCCCTAGCTTCCATTTTTATAGCACAGCTATCCACCAGGCATTCTACTGGGGGCTTCACATACGTTATTTCTAACCCCACCAACTTCCTCGTTTTCCCCATCTTTACAGAGGAGGCAACTGGGCTGGGCCACACAGTATAACCCACATAGCCCCTAGTACTAGAGTCTAGCACACCACAGGCATTCAGTAAATAATGGAGAAAGGAATGTGTGAATGAAATGGCCAAGTTGAGATCTTATCTGGCTCACTGTGTGCCTTCCAGTCCAGAATACACCCTCTTTGAATATACTCTCACTGCTCTGGAGTGAAAGATTGGGCAGAGGAGGCCTGGAGCATGAGGCACCATGGTAGGTCATGGGGCTTGGGGAGGGGAAGATGGTTATTAGAAAAAGAGAAAATGCAAAAAAAAAAAAAAAGGCCATGCAAAGAACTAGAGAAGCTAAATGTTATCTGGGTCATATGTTTTTATAAACACCAGGGAAAAAGCAGCACTGACATCTTGGGTTATGTAGATTCCTAAGAGGAGCTGATTCAGATAAACAATGAAACAGCACCATGAGAAGACCATTACATGTAAAATCTGAATTCTCCCTGAACTTAGGTAGTGAGGGTGTCCTTTTCAGTGCTGAGTAACCAGACAGTCTTGACTCCCAAAGGAATGTTGTCAAACATAAAAAGTAGAAGACAATGACTGGGAAGAAAAAGAAAACTGTTTGCCTTGGTCAGGCCTTGCCCAGGATCAATAGCTTTCTTATATACCCCTCCTCAACTACTGAAGAAATAGTCCAATGTTTTTCAGGTACTTATTTTCTTTTTAGTGCATTTCTGCATTCTTTTTCATTCTTGCATCTTATTATATTAACATGGAACCAAAAGCAAAACGGGAGAGAGGACAGTAAACTAGTAAAGTGATTCAGGAGGAATAATTTCTAAGAAGAGTAAAACAGAATAGTCAAATTTGGCTAAAGAATAGCCATCCATCAACATCTGAAAGTAGTGTAAATTATAGAAAGATTGGGAGAAGCATATAATGTAGCCACACAAATCATGGCCTCTAAGAAGAATGGGCTAAGCTGAAGAAAGGAATGCTAATTTGAAATGTCCATGGAACTTACTTCATTCTATCTAAACATGATTATGAATTTATGTTTTGAAGAATCAATCTGGCTTCTGAAAAGAATCCCATAGGGGAAGACATATAGCACAATGCAATTATTAAATATAGCTCCTGAAAAAAACCCAATATCTGTTTTAATATTCAGTTTCGGGTTCAAATATGTTTGTCATGTTCCAAAATCTGTTTTTAGAGTTATTGCCAAATTATGTAGAAGGGATAATAGAGAAGGAGAAGTATGATTCTGGATGGCTTGAGTGAATTGAGAAGACAGATGATTTAACAGTCTTGGGGTTACGTTTTAGTTTGCCGATAGCATCTATTACCTATGAGCTACAGAAAACTTGTAAAGCACTATAAAAAATGCACAGGAAATAAAGACAAAGGTCAATTACATATATAAATATACTTCAGTCAGCATACAATATACTGAGAGAGATTCCCATGCAATCTGACAACCAATCTCTGGTGAACTGGGGAGCACTACCAAACTAGGTGGACTTTCTCCTCTGTGCTGATAGTTACTGTAGCAGACAAACTCTAAGATCAAATGATCCTGCCTCCTGTATTCATGCCCTTGAGTAATCTCCTCTCCTTGAGTATAGGCAGGGCCTATGACTTGGTTCTAACCACTTATTATGGCAAATGAAATGAGATGTCACTTCTGTGACTACATTACTTAAGGTTATAATGTTCTTGCTTAGAAGGCTCCCTTCTTTGGGCCCGAAGCAAGCTGCCATGCTATGAACTGCCCTGTGGAGAAGCCCACATGGCCTGGAACTGAGGTAGGCTTAGGCTGACAGCCAGGAAGGAGCTGAGCCCTCGGTCCAATAGTCCACAGGGAACTGAAGCCTGCCGACAACCACAGGCGCTTGGAAGTGTGTCCTTCTCAGGTTAGAATCCAGCCCTGGTGAACACCTTGGTGGCAGCCTCTTGAGAGACCCTAGGCAGAGGACCCTTTTAAGCCTTGCCTGGATCTGTGACCCATGGAAATCATGAGATAACATGTGTGTGGTTTTAGACTGCTAAGATTCTAGTAATTTTTTAGACAGCAGTCGATAACTAACATACCTCTCCATGGTCCTCACCCATCACTCATTCCTTTGTTTACTCAACATGTGTTTTTAAATATGTGTTATGTATTAGACATGTGCTAAGCACCAGGAAACAAAATAGATGTGCTCTCTTTGAGTTTACTGTCTAGTAGAAGGGTTATGAGAATATAGGCATTAACCACTAACCATAACTAAAACTAAATAAGTTCAGTTGTGATAAGTACAGTGAGGAAATAGTATATTCTAAGTGTGTATGGAAGGGCAACTAATTCACCTGGAGGAGCAGGGAAACTTTCCTTGAGGATGTGGCATTGGAAGAATTAATAAGAGCGCTTCCAGGCAAAAGGATCAACAAGTGGGCAGAGCTTGAGGTGAAGACAGAGGATACAGAGAGCAGGGGGGATGGGCTTAGGAAGTGGGGTGGGGGCGGGCAGGGGCCAGCTTCTTCTTGTGGGCCTCACAAGAGTTTTCAACAAGGTGTGGCACAGATTATTACATTAACAGAGTAGCCACTTTAGAATTCCTATGTGTCATCTATATTGCTAAAGAGTTCACTGTATTCCAAATACTGTTCAAAGCATTTTATACATATTAAAACATTTAATTCTCACAAAATTCTATAAGAAAGGAACTAAGTTATCTCTATTTTTCAGATGAGAAAATTGAGACACAAAGAGATTTGGTAACATGCCCAAGATAATTTGGCTGATAAGTGGCAGAGTCTAGGTTTAAACCCAGGCAGTACCTCTGGAGTCCACCTTCACCTCACCACTACTTCACTAGTCTCTCTTTGAGAGAGGAGAGACTTGGGGAGCTATTCCAGTTAAAAGGGGGGAGTTGGATATTTGTCTTGCAGCTATGCTTAAATAACACTTCATATAAAACTGGGCTAACATCAGCTAGCAACCACCAGGGTGATTCAGAGAAACCTCCCAAGTTCTGGATTCCATAAGACCCCAGGGACATTTGACTGACCTTGAAGCTCAGGGAAGGAGCCCTGAAAATAACTAAGATTAAATTTCTGGCCAACTGGTAAATAGAAACTTGGAGTTGGTTTTAATTTGATTTAGAAAAGTAATGTGCCAATTCTTGCTAAGTATTACACTAGAATAAAATTCACATCCATTACTGAGGTGTTCGATCTTTGAGGCAAGACACTTCCGCAATTTTAGAGGAATCTTAAAATAGACTTATATGCTTTGATTAATAGCCAGTACTTCTCCTGAGTGTGAAGAAACTCTCTAATGGAAATATTCTAATATAATTGCCCATATATCCACATATTTGAAGTATTATAAAGATACTATGTACTATGTGAAAGTATTATGAAGTATTATTTGTAACCTGTGATTTTTTGAGGTCCTTGAAGGCTTCTGGGTGAATTTTAAATATCTTGTTGCTCTTTAAATAGAGGTTCTCCAGTTGCAGGCAGTTTTGAAAATCAGACAAACCAATTTGTGATATCCCATTGAATGACAGATCCAATGACTTCAGTTTCCACAGTCCTATTAAAATTAGAAAGCAAATTAAAATATAAACTGGTGATGCTTACTGTAGCATTGTTTATAATGGTGAAAAATTGGAGACAACCTAAATGGTTCTCAGCAGAGAAATAGTTAAAAGAAATATGGTATATCAATACTATAAAATACCATGTCATCTTAAAAGAGAATGGGGTAGGTCAACATGAATTGATTGAACAGGAAGGAAAATGTTAACTGAATAGTACAATGTTCTTGGAGAAAAGAGTCATGTGCAAACATATGAATATATTTTGAGTGAGCAGAGAGAAAGGACTGTGAGGAGATGAACTAAGTTATCTGTAGCAGTTACACTTTGCAGTCAGAACGAGGGAGGTGGAGGGGGATGAGAAGGTAACTATGCTTTTATTTTGTTTTTGAATTCTTTCTTTCAGTAAGCATATGCTAATTTTGTGGTAAAAACATAAATTTAAAAATCTAACTTTGAAGGATGTGATAAGTAAATATTTATTTGACTGAACTATGGGTAAAAAGCAAATAGTAGTTTTGATGATTTATTTATATGGATGAATTCTTTGAGTTGTAAAATGTTCTTTTTCTATTTTGTAGCTATATCCTTTCTTTCATCTATTATTGTTGATATTATAACTATTTTCTAGGCATTCTTGTATTTTTCAAAGGTAGTAAGTTATAGCTATATTTTGTTTTTTGGCAAAATAACCAACTGAGTTTTGGTCCCTACCTCTGTATTTCACTTGATTCCAGAGTAACCAGGAGGCCCATTTGGCACTGAAAATAAAGGTTGAGGTACCAGTCATAGCAGGCTTCCAAATTTGATTTTCCCCCATAAGTCTTACAAGGAAGCCCTGCATTTTTACATTTCCTTTTGCTCTGTTCTCACATGTGTTCTATGTCTTTAACTACTATTTAACAGATCAGATTGGTTCGATTCCAGAAGGGTTTATTCCTTGCCTACTGTCTGCCAAGGCACTTGTTGTAAGACTGATTATGCAGAGAGATGATGACTTAATTTAAATCATTGTACATCTATATTATGTTCATTTCAGCTGTACAGAATGAACAAGAGATCATTAGGAAAACAACTCAATCAAAACATGAGTAAAGCACTTGGCATTGAGAACAAATGAGCATAGAATCCTTGTGTCTGGTTGAGTGACAAGGCATATACACAAGAAAAAGTTACTAGTTACACAAAGCAGTTATATCCCTACCATCTGACTATAAAATTAACTGTTAGCCTCTCCATCAGATGATTAGTTCCTTCAGGGCAGAATTCACATCTTTGTGAACTCTTATAATGCCTGGAATATAATATGCACTCTACAAGCCAGAGATTAAAGTTTTAAAATTATTAAACCAACAATAAAGATTCAATACAAAACTTTGTATTTCTAGCACCCATTGAAAAATTGGAAGTTTAATGGGCATAAGACAACATTTTGGCTGAAGCTGAATGAGGGCTGCCTGCTTCAGACAGGGTATACATTAAGAGAAGACTGATTTTTTTGTTCTCATGTCTCTATAAAAAATTGGAAAACAAAGGATAGGCCAAGAAGCCTGCATGTTTAAAAAAATGGGAGAAAACCAAGGCTGATATTTACCTGGCACATTTTGGTAAGAAATATTTCCAGATTGGTTTGTAAATAGCTATGAACCACTCTGTGCTGTCCCAGACCCTCTGTGTGCTTCTTTACTACCCTAGACACTTCAGTGGATCTTCCCCTTCTACTCCCACCCCTCCCACAGGACTCAGGACTCAGTTCTAGCACTATGGCCAGAAGGCATGCAACTGGGGGGCTCAGGATAAAGGCCAGTTGTTAAATATTTTGAAAATGTTTCTTTGTGGAGCAAAAAATATTCCTGCACATTAGAATATGCAAAAAAAATAATGCAACATAAGGCAATATGAAACAAGCTATAGTTTCCTTACTATTTTCATGATACTTGTCTGGCCTATATATGGACATGAGCTCATGATTCCTGCAATATCACAATGACTAACTGAATTAAACAGGTATCCTAGGAGTTGAATTGAGGGAATAAATTATTTTAAAACTCCTATTTAATAACATATTCTTTTTCTGCTCTAAGCATTTCACAAACCTCTCCTTTTAATCCTCACAAAGCTCTAGGGGTTTTGCAAATGACAAAAACCAGTGCAGTGAAGCATTTGCCAATGTCATGGTAGGCGGAGCTGTGGAGCAGGGCTTTCTAGGCAAAAGAATGGTATAGGCCAAGGGACACATGAAACTGCTAAATGTCTTAGAAGTTGTTTGGTGATTCTACTTGTATCATGTAGTTATTAGGGTCCTGCACAGGGACGTAAATGACTGAGTTTTATCCCAGCTCTGTGATTTCTGATATGAATCATGGAGTATCACTTAAGGTCTCTGTGCCTCATTTTCCTCCCTTAACTATTTCTCACAGCTGGAATTGAGCTATATCTTTGATTACTATGATCTTAAAATATTTTGAGCTCAGTGGAAGACAAGTGTAATAGATTAGGTTATTATTCAGGAAATACTCACTTTCCTGTGGACAGAGTTTACCTCCGCATTCCATTTCATTGTGTTTGGCCAGGAGATTTGTTTTAGCCAATAAGATGTTAGCAGACATGATGTGAGCAAGCTTTGAAGTAAGTTTATGTACTGGGACTAGTTCTCCTGGCTTCTGCCTTTGTCATGAAAAGAATATGCCCTGACTAGTCTCTGGTCCAAAGACAGTGAGGGACAATGTGGAGCAGACTTGGGCCTAATACGTAGCTCTCAAGAAAACAGACAAAATTCCTTGAGGAAAGAAACTGTGTAAGAGCAGAGTTAGAGCTTTTCTTCACTGCCAAAACACTTGTTCTATTTATAGAATCAAAGCTCTTCAGTGAGATGTGGCACATTGGTGCTATCAGCCTCAGGTGACTATGTGTGAACTACACCAAAGTTTGTAAATGAGTGGATTGATGCTAGGATGAAAATAAGGACAGAAGCTGTTGATAGGCTAGCATCAAATGTAGTTTACCAATTCTGGTCCACAGAAAACCCAGGGCATGATATACAGCTGGCCCTAATTGGGTGGGTCTAGGGTGCTCTGAGAATAAATTTTCAGTAGAAGAGTTCCTAACAAAGTAGTCTGACATGGGTGAATTCCAGAAATCAACCACAGATGACATTCTGATCCCATAAAACAAAATAAATTTCAGTTTGATTAAAAGTATAATCTGTCTGAAAAATCTTCTCTGACAATATTGCTATTCATGGGGCATGAAGAACATAAATAAGAGCATGGTGGAGTCATACTCAGGGAAAATTGTTTTGGGGAAAAATAGCAAAGGAAGAAATTATAAAGAAAAATTAATACATTTGATTACAAAACTGTAAATTGAGCAGAGGTTAAGAACACTACAAAAGGAACAAAGATAAGGGTGACAGTAGATTTCTTATGGGGAATAATGAGTGAAGACAACAGAGCAACACTTAAAAATACTAAAAAATATGTCAATGTAAAATTCTTTACTGATTGAAAAATACCTTTAAATTGGAGGCAAATAAAGACTTTTCAGACATATAGGATCTGAAAAAATTCATCATTAGCAGACCTACACTAGAAGAAATGTTTGGAGAAGTCCAACTAAAGAAAAATGACATCAGATGGAAGTCTAAATCTACACAAAGGAATAAAGAGCTCCAGAAATGGTAACTATGGGTCAATATTAGTATTTTTTTCTTATTTAAATTTCTTGAAAAGTTAATAAACTATTTAAAGCAAAAATACTAAAGATGTTTTGTGGGGTTTATAACATATGTAGCAATATTAACACAAAGGCCAGGAGCAGAAAAATGGAAGAATACTGTTGTTAAGTTCTTGTGTTTTAGGCAAACAGTACAATGCCGCATAAAAACAGAACTTTGATGTTAAGGGAAATCCTTAAGCAATATCTAAACAACAACAACGACAAAGAATTATGACTAGTAAGCCTACAGAGGAGATAAAATAGATTAATAAAAAAGTACAGTTAATACAAAAATGGTGGAGAGAGAGGAAAAGGGGAACAAAACTGGAAGGAACACAGAAAAAAAATCAAGATGGTAGATATAAATGATACCTGAAAGCACCAATGAAAAGGCAAGGATTCTCAGTCTGGAAAAAAATTCAGGAATCGAATATATAATTCCTATAAGAAAGGCACTTTAAATATAAAAAGATGAATAGGATACATGTAAAAGAATGGAAAAGACTTTTCAGTAAATGGTGCTGGAAGAACTGCATATTTTTAAACTTTTGTGTGTTATTTATACCACACATAAAAATTAACCCAAACTATTTTAAGACAATCATAAACCTAAATGTAAAACCTAAATGTAAGTAAATCATAAGCCTTAAACGTAAAATGTGAAGAAAGTAAAGTTATAAAACTTCTGGGAAAAAACATAGGAGGAAAATCTTTGTGACTTCGGGTTAGGCAAAGATTTCTTAGCTATGGCACCATAACACAATCCATACACTAACCAATGTATGAATTGGACTTCATAAAAATTAAAAACTGCTCTTTGAAAGATGTTGTTAAGATAATGAATACTCAAACCACAGACTGGGATAAAATGTTTGCAAACCATATATCTGTGAAAGGACTCATACCTGGAATGCATAAAGAACTATCAAAACTCAATAATTAAAAAATTAAAAAGCAGCTAAAATGTGTACATATTATAAAAGATATACAGATGGCAAAAAGCACACAGAAAGATATTCAGTATCATTAGTCATTAGGGAAATCCAAATTAAAACCATAATGATATGTCACTGTACATCTTTTAGCATGGCTAAAATTAAAAAGATTGACCATACCTGGTGTGGGTAAGGATGTAGGATAACTGAAATTCTTATACAATGCTGGCGGGAATTAAAAATAGTACAGTTGAAAGATGGAGGCATTAGAGGTGAGACAGAGGCTTCCTCCTAAAACCACATATAATATGAAAATATAATTAATACAACTAATCCTGAGACAG